CTCCTATCCTAACCCTAACCCGTACCTCTACCCCCCACAGCTCCTATCCTAACCCTAACCCGTATCTCTACCCCCCCACAGCTCCTTCTGTAGTCCCTCTACCTCTATCTCTATCTCACCACTGACTCTGATCAGTGTTTCTCCTCTGTATAACTTATTGTCATAGTGATGATAAATGTAATATTGTCTCTACTCTGTAAGTCGCTTTGGATAAAAGCGTCTGCCAAATGCATAAACATAAACATAAACATAAAGACATTAAACCGTGTGTGAACTTTTCAGGGCGGAGGGGGGCATCACTAAGGGGGCGACGGTGGGCGTCCTGCTGGACCTGACCAAGCGCACTCTGACTTTCTACATCAACCAGCAGCAGCACGGGCCCACGGCCTTCGAGAGCCTGGAGGGCGTCTTCGTGCCGGCCGTCAGCCTCAACAGAAACGTGCAGGTCGGTGTCGGATCGTTAACCTCCTGAGACCCGAGCTTTTATTTGGCATGAATTTTAGCTTTTTTTTTTAAAGATATATGAGATACATATTTAATTAAATGTTTTTACAATTTTGTTCTGACAGTCCCATTGACTTATTTACAGTTTTTCTATTACACAATAAGAACATGATTGGATGGAAATGTATAAAACCATTTTACTTTAGATTTCAAACAGTGTCTGATAGCATCTGCTATGAGGTCAAGAGGTCAAAGCTGAAAGAAAAAAAGAAGTATCGTGGTAAAGAGAGACAAAAATGCAACGTCCTCTTATGAGGACACAGGGTCTCAGGAGGTTAAGCTAACCCAGTGCTTCTCAGTTATTTTCTGTTACACCCCCCCTAGCAAGATTTTTTTTTTTCGCGCCCCCCACTCCCCACCGTGATTATCCATCTCTGCATAACATTTTATCCTCATTAACATTAAAGAAAAGGAAAAAAGAAAGACAGATGGTCAAAACTTACAACTTTATTAAATCGTGTTTTCAGTCTGCAACAGAAAAGATTTTAAGTGCATCCATGCCTGAAATTAAAAATAAATAAATCCTTGTTTAAACTGTAAACGTGTTTGACCAACTGATTGCACCATTGCAAAAATTAAATCAAAATCAATGAATAATATTTAGAACTATTTGAGAAGCACTGAGCTAACCACAACCGAATGAGACAGTTTCCATGGCAATTCAATTCAATTAAATTTTATTTTATCTATATAGCGCCACATCACAACAATAGTTATTTCCCAGCTTTCTAAACAGAGCAGGTCAGACTGGACTCTGAAGTTAATTACAGAAGATAAACAATTCCCACCAAGAGCAAGCACTAGGCGACACAGGGAAGGAAAAACTTCCTTCCGAACAGCTTCAAACGAGCAAAACCAATAGCAGTTATCTCCCAGCTTTCCAAATAGAGCAGGTCAGACTGGAGTCTGAAGTTATTTACAGAATAATTCCTACCAAGAGCAAGCATTAGGCGACACAGGGAAGGAAAAACTTCCTTTTAACAGGCAGAAACCTGGAGCAGAACCATGGCTCAGGGTGGGGGGGCATCTGTCTCGGCCTCATGGGAAATCCCCTGGCAGTCTGGGCCCATAGCAGCATAACTAGCCCTTTAAAGCCCGATCCAAGAATAAAACAAAACAGAAAATTACTTTTTTTTGCTTTGAATTCCTTATTTGGCCTTTTAACAAAGTAAATATATAAATAAATAAAAACAGAAATACATTTTTGATATTAATAATTTATTACTATGCGATAAGTCAAGATTATTTTTTGTGTAGTCTTCTGCCCCCTGTTATCAGGTGTATCTGATTGTGTACAATAGGATTTTGAGCAAAGTTTTTACCATTAAATTATGCAAAAGGTGTCAGACGCAAAACATTTCAGAAACCGTATGAATCAGATATGATACATTTGGCATTACAGGGCTAGGGGTGGACTCACCCTAACTATAACTTCTATCATAAAGTAAAAGTCATAAGCCTAAGATCTCATCTTCTGGGATTCTTATTCTCTGAAAACTGAATTGTTCTCTCGTGTTTAGGAGGTTAGCGTCCAACAGAGAGACGAAAAAGCCCGAAAAAGTGTTTGCTGTGTGTAACAGGATGACCTTTAGCGGTTGGATTTGTTGTTTAGTGAGCATGAGTCTTGAGTCTACTCAACAGATTATGCACACATTTGCGTAGTTTTTTCCTCACCATTAGCTCATTGCTCTGAGTAATAATTATGCTCCTCCACAGGCAACAGCAACCAACCTCACCCATCAATGAGAAAAACATAGGCTACATAATAATGCTCAATAAATATAGTTAAACCTTCTTGTGTGCAAATTTATTGTTGTGCAAATCTCTGCTTAAAGTGGAAATGCTAAATAAAGTGCAAAAATACCTTTTTAAGTGCCATACGGTGCTATATCCTCCTGAGACCCAAAGAAAAAAAGTGTCTTCAAATTTCTTTTTTGTTGTGATTTTCCCTGTATTTGGACCTAAAAAAGAACATTACAATTTAAATTTTTTTAAAAATATTTTTAATTTTAATTTCATAGCATGTCCACTGTGGAGGACAACAGGACGATTTGCATGGGAAAATAGAACAGGCTTTAGATAATTAAATAATAAAAAAGAAGATGTCTTGAAAGGGATATTTACCTAAGAACTCTTAGGAAAAAAGTCAAGTTCCCAGCATGCAAAGCTATCACATGGCACATCCCTGGAAAGCCCAGGATGTGCTCTACAGAACCCTATAGGGCTGATAGGGTAACTCCAGATACTTAGGGGGGGTACAGGTGGACAAAATGTCCACTATAATGGACATAAAGGAATGGGCCGGGTCTCAGGAGGTTAAATGTAAAATAGTCCCAGTAATGAAGATCTCTTCATTAAACTGTGTTTCTCCTCTTCAGGTGACCTTAATGACGGGCCTGGAGGTGCCAAAGAACAGCAAACAGTAAAGGATCCTTCCTCTTTCCTGGAGATTATCCAAATATGTCCTTTTTAGCCTCGGTTTACTCATGCGTGGATCAAAGATGTCCAACGGGATTTTCTCCATAACCTGCTCCTCTCAAGAAGTCCCCTATCAAAACCTGACCAGGTGTAAATGCCCATAAAGGTGGAATTACAATGGACAACTGGACTTCGTTCATCCTCGGTGTCGCCATAAGACTTCCATAAGATTTTAATTGTGCTCATTCAGGCTTGTAATGTATAAAGAAAGTCACCATGTCTGAGGAGATTGTCATTTTCCAAACTATGGAATGAGAGTTTTTTCAATATTTACAGAAATCTGTTGCTTTTCAGAGGTAGAAACAGGACGCAAAGATTGTTGCTGCTCTCAGAGTTTATGAGTTTTAAGATGGAGAGAGACTTTTTGGAGGGAGATTTTGATTATTTCACGGCATGTTCGCTCCCAGTTTTGGTTCAGACAACTTAATTATGTCTGTTCCCTTCTTTACTGATTCAAAGGAAAAATTATTATTATCCTCAAGCTTGAAGCTGAAAGCCATCTGAAGTCTACAAAGTCTGGATCCGGTTTTAGGGGAATATCCTACAGGTTTCAGAATAGAATTTGAGGTGCATTTGTGGTGAAACAAAAAGGGAAAAACCTACAAAAGACACAAGATTTCAATATAAGGGAGCACATTCAACATTTAATTGTAAATTATGTGAATTAGGTGCATAACTGTAATTTCATTGAGGGTTTTTCAGAGATAATTGTTGGATAAAAGAGTTAATGGGTTGAAATGTGTTTTAAAAAATGTAAAAAGCACCAAATTGTGTGAGTTCATCAGTCCAGTTAGAGCTGTCAGACTAACGTTTTTACACTTTAAAGGCATTATGTGTCAGTTTGTACCTTTAAGGTTTCAAAATTCTAACCAAGGAGAATAAGAACAACTTCTAAGTGTTTGGTAAAAGAACAAAACTCTGAGAAAGATTTATCTCCTAAATCTGTTTTTTTTTTTCATTTAATCTCATCTTGAGTAACAAATTCAGCCCCTAAAACTTGACGTTTTAAAAAAAGTTTGAGGAGTCTTTTGATATTTGGCAGACTTTGGGGGTTTTCGACCTCCTGGAGGAAATAGAGACAATTTACTCCCTGATTATCTTACTCTGCCTCTCCAAGGTTCTGTAAACTGTCAGAAATGGTTTAATTCTGGGCTGTGTTGACAACAAAACCCTGAAACAAAAAGGAAAATCAGTCCAGTCTTTCTCTCTTTTTGTGTTTTTCTTTTAACTCATTGACTGCCAGCCATTTTCAGAACAGAGTCCCATACTGCCAGAGTTTTTTGAGCATTTTGACTGAGTTTTCAAGAGCCACAGAATAGTTTGTGCTATGACTATGTAAACACCGAACACACCAAAAGAAAGAGTAGACTCTCTTCTTTCATCAGGAAAAAAATGTTGTTTCTAGCTTATTCCGTTCTTCCTGGACTTGCGTCTCACCGGCGACATGTTCTCTCATAGCGAACCGTTAGCTTTTTCTTATTTGCCTACAGTCTATGCTCATCTCCCACCAAAAGTGGCACTGCCCCCTAGAGGGTCAATTTTCTACTACATACTCTGTCTAGAAGCCGATATTTACGGACAAGCTTTAGCAGATCGTCCCCCAGCCACTCTCGTTGAAAAACATAAAACACGTAACACTTTGGCAGCGAACGGTTGTATTTGAATTGACGTCTATAGACGTCTTTGGCAGCCAATGAGTTAACGAGACCAGGAAGCCGTTTGAGAAGAGCCTGTTTCTCCTGGTAATTTCCTCCTGTTCTGGTCCTGGTCTGGTTCTTTTATTACTTCATTTACTTCATTAGTCGCATCGATTAAAGCTCGTCGGTAGCTTTGGCCGGAACACTGTGACTCCGAGGCCAAACCACACTCCCGTAACATGAAACTAAACCCAAAACGTCCACGTCTGTTTTCCTTAGAGAGTTTTATCCCATCTTTGGTTGGGGAACTGTGCGTACCACGAACTGTAAATACTGAGGTGTGAGCCACGACTGACTGTGACTTGATGCTGAGCATGAAGCGAGCATCCAACAAGTTTACAAATATCTGGGATGAGATTAGAAATAGAGTACCGTTTTATCATTGAGAGACATGAATATGGCGTTTAATAAGTCATCAAAAAGTTTTTCCACACATTTTTCCTCAGAGTTTTTAATACATGACAGGGTTTATCTCACTGGAACACAATGGGAAGGGTCACTCTTTCACTCTGTTTGTTATGTTTTCTCAATTCAGTTTGACAGAGGCCTGATTCTGCTGCCCCCAAGTGGCTAAATGTCGTATTACAA